ATATATATATAATTTTTATAATTATATATATATATAATTTTTTTTTTCTATCATTTGTTTCATTACATAACACTGGACGATATGCTATTAAGAATTAAATTAAAGTTTTATATGCCATTTGTTTTGAGTTTATAATTAAATCATTTTTATATTAGACTGAATATTATATGAATTTACATTAATATATACTCTATTGTGGAGGTGGTTGATACCCATAACCACCATATTGATTTGGTGGAGGAGGTCCTTGAGGTCCAGGAGGAGGAGGCATATGTCCACCAGGTGGTCGTGGTGGATACTGAGGATATCCTTGTCCTGCTGGCGGTGGAGGATAACTTTGAGGAGGATATTGTGGATGTCCATAATGTTGACCACCTTGAGGTGGATGAGGAGTATATACCTAAAATTTATATATTTATATTAAATATGATTTGTGTTATATTAAATGTTACATATATTTATTATTATATTTATACTTATTATTATATTTATATTAAATGATTTGTATTATATTAAATTTTATATATATTTTATTATATAAAATTTACATTAACAAAAAATGTTTGATATTTTTCAATCATTAAATACCTGTGGTTGACCACCTGGTGTTGGTGGTACATATGTTTGTGTGGTAGCTGGGCCATACCCAGGCTGTGGTTGTGGACCTGGAGGCGGAGCAGGACCTTGTGGAGGTCCTGAAGGTGGCTGAAATCCACTTGGAGCAGGACTTTGAGACTGTTGCTGTTGAGATTGTGGTGGTGTCTGAGATTGTTGTTGAGATTGTTGCGGTTGATGCGGAGATTGATGCGCTGGAGGTTGATGAGTTGATTGATGAGATGGTTGATGAGGTGGTTGATGAGGAGCATGAGGAGGTTGATGTGGAGACTGATGCGGCGGTTGATGTGGTGGATGCGATGATGGGTGAGGTGCTTGATGCACTGGATATCCGGATGGAGCAGGTCCCGGCGGGGCATAATTTCCACCTTGTGAAGTAGGTGGTGGAGCGCTATTTGGAGGATAAGTTTGAGTCGAAGCAGATGGTGTACTTGTTGGTTGACTACTCTGAGCATAGGTGTTTACTCCACTCGCAGAGGCAGTACTGAACGGTGGAGATGTAGAAGCTGGACCGTATTGTGTTGCACCAGGACCGGGACTTGGCTGATTACCATAATTTGGTTGAGGACCAGTGCTTTGTTGAGATCCAGGCTGAGGAGGTTGAGCACTAGAAGTAGGAGGAGCCGGATAATTTTGAGGTGGAACATTATTTGCATATGCTTGTGATGAAGGAGGAGGATAATTTCCGGGTTGACCACCTCCGTACGCATTTTGAGGCGGAGCTTGAGATGGTGGCTGTTGATAATTTGGTTGTGGACTAGGGCTACCGTATTGACCAGGTTGTTGTTGTTGTCCGGTTGATGCAAAATTTTGTTGAGAAGGATTAGAAGGAGGATAGCCTTGCTGATTCGGTGGTGGTGGACCATATCCTGTAGGAGGCTGAGTTGTCCCTGGTGGTGGATATCCACCTGGCTGAGGTCCATAACTATTTACAGTAGTTGGAGGACCATAATTCGGTTGGGTCGATGTGCTATATCCCTGTTGTTGAGAAGTATTTGGTGGTCCATACTGATTTGGTTGACCTGGAGTATAGGCAGCTCCCTGTGGTCCTTGATAATTGGTGCCAGGATTTTGATTGGTATATTGTGTAGGATAACTTTGTTGAGAAGGTTGTTGAGGGTAACCTTGAGGTCCTCTATATTGTTGTGGTCCAGGTGCAGTAGGTGGTCCTTTAAAACAATAATTTATTAAAGTTAAGAAATAACGTTAATTTCTAAAAATTTCAAGTTGAAATATAACGTACTATTTATAGCAGGTCCTTGTCCAGGCATAACTGGACCACGGTATCCACCTTGTGTCATTGGTTGCCCTTGACTAAAATTTGACATTGGTAAAGTTGGTTGAGTATTTGGAGGCATATCACCTCCAGGTCCACTTGATCCTGTAGGAGCATTAGGAAGGCCTTGTGGATTCATCATACCATGTTGGGGACCATTAGGAATTCCTTGTGGAGGCTTATTGCAATAATAAAAATAATATTAATGCACTTCCAACTTAAATATTATAGCTTAATATATTTTAAATATTTCTTACTGGTAGTAATGCTTGTATATTTTGATTTGCATCAGCAATGGATGCTAAATATACCAAATTGCGATGTAACATCTGTTGATATCTAAAAAAAAAAATCATATTGTATCATTGAATACTGTCACACTGATACAATTCTGAAAATGATTACTTACTGTATACATTCTTGAGGTTTTCCTTTATTTTGATATTCTTGTATCGTCTGTATAAGCTGACTGTTTTCATCAAGCATCTGTTAACAAATTATACACATAATTAATATCACATAAATAGTAAATTTAATATTATAAAATAATCATGTTCTTTTTATTTAACATTTTTTTTATAATTGTCGTTTTGGACGAATTATTACTTTTTTTAAACGTAATAAAATTACATGAAAAAAATGACATTTCAAGAAAACTCATATAATACGATATTAATACGATATTAATACGAAATTAATAATATACATAATATTTATTACCTTCTGTATTTGAGCAGGATTCGGTGGTGGTCTGCCGCGTTGAGCAAAGGTCACGGACATGCTTTTAAATAACTTATCAGTCGTTAAAAAATTGCGATTAGATGGAACTTGTAATTTTGCTTCTACTTTTTTTCACTTAATCTGTCAGTTGATAGTTTGAATGTTCATTTAAAACTTTAAGATCTTGCTACAGTATTGGTCGCCCACATTGCTGAGTACCTTCAACATTTAAAAAAAGCTATTACTTTCAACCTCGTAAATCTGCCTCGAAATGATAACGAAAGTTCACAATATCATTTTGCCACAATGAAGGATCTTACCGAAGAAAAATCTTAAATACAGCACTAGCAATCGCTTTGCAAAATTTCTAGTTTTACAAATAAGATATGATGGTGGCTGTCCATTTCTAAAATAGAAAGCTTGGGAGAAGAGCGTACCGTGTGGCAAATGCGCGAACTATTGTGACAAAATAAATCCACATTGGTGTGAGTAAAAACTCAAAATTCGTTACTTATTGGCTCGTATCCTCGCATTAATGAAAACCTTGTTTAAAGAAAAGCGTTTGTTTAAGGAACAAATTTTTACGAGATCGTTGAAATATTCATGCTTATTAATCGATAAATATAAATAGACTATGACGAAATTGGTAGTTAAAAACTTTTATATTTAATTAAATAAAACTTATATGTTTATTATTTTACTAAGTTAAGAAATATTGTCAATTTAAGACTCGTAAAGCATTTCAATTTTTTCGTAAAACATAAAATTAAAGCTTCTGCATGGAAAAGTAAAAATTTTACTTTTACAGCATGTTTCATGTAATGTAGTACTATCAGTTACAGAGTAAAAATGAATCAAAAATATAAAATAGAATTTTTTTTTAAGATTTTTTTATTTTCAAGAAAAGAGTTCAAATACGTTCAGTTAAGAATTGAAACATACATATTTGATAAATTTTCAAATTTAAGCGCCTTAAGAAAAAATTTTGTTCTACATTTTCAACTTAAAATAATTTCCTGTTAATTATTCGTATGGTTATTCCTTGTTAGTATATTTGAAACTCGATTTTCTCGAAAACAAAATTTTATGTGACAAGATTTTATTCTATATTTTTGCACGTAAAATCATTTCCTAGTTAATAGTTGCTATTATGTTATACAAAACGCTAAATTTTTATCATATTGTGCTTGATGTTGATTAATGAAAAAAATAATAATCCGCCTATGAAAAAAAATTAATAATATATTTATGAAAATTACTATATTTAAATTTGAATACAAAAAAATTTTATTTTATTTATTTGCAAAGGCAATTTGAAGTGTTATCTTTTGTCATTTCGTTTATCTATTCTTAGTAGATAATTTTTTTCTCTATTTTTTATGCGTAATTTTATAAAAATCTATTTAAAGTATTTCACAAAATTAGGTCATATCTTTACTATTTATTGACGTAGTTTTGAATACTTATTTATAAAAACAATTTTGTCATATTATGAAAAACATAACCTCAAATCAATCAAGATACATTTATCTTATTTCGTAATATTCAAAAATTGCCGACTTTACTTAATATAATAAGTAACGTAAAGACAGCACGTAAAATGACTACGGCGAAGGTAAATAATAGCAATAAATGAAAAATAAATACTGTACAATTATAGTAATAAATATTTCTCATAATTTCAGATCGAATTTGCGGTAGACATGACTTGTCAAAAATGCATTGATTCGGTGCGAAATGTTTTAACTGGTGTAAATGGAATTGAAAATATTGATATATCATTAGAAAAAGGAATTGTTATAGTTGAAACAAATTTGCCATATTTTATAATTCAAGAAAAAATTGAACAATCTGGGAAAAAAGCTGTTTTGAAGGGATATGGAGGTATATAACACATGATACAGTGTGTTATATTAATATAATGTTTTAAAAATTGTAATTTCTTATGTTACAGATAATTATAGCGCAGTTACAATGTTAGGAGGAAATTCAGGATATACTGTAGATAATAGAATAATGGGTGTAATAAGATTTGCAGAAACTCCTGATGGATGTCTCATAGATGGTACAATTGATGGCTTAACACCTGGTGAACATGGCATGCATATTCACGAATGTGGTGACATTTCTCAAGGTTGTGATAGGTAAGCATTTTAAATTCTTAGTTTTTGTTTCTTCTATTTTCGCTTTTCGTTTAAAATATTATCATTATATTAATATCATATTTTTAGTGTTGGAAAACATTTCAATCCGAATGATACATTACATGGTGGACCTGAAGATGATGCATCTAAACGGGTAAATATTGAAATTTATGTTAATATTATGTTGTTACTAATTTTACATATTATATTATTACTATAATATATCATAATATTAATAATGATAAATTATTTTTTAATAACAAAAATGTTACTGCAGCATGTTGGAGACTTGGGAAATATAGTAGTCAATAATTCTGGTAGAGCTACTTTCAGAATGATAGATAAACTTGTAACAATTTCTGATGTTATTGGAAGATCTTTAGTTATAACAGAAAAACCAGATGATTTGGGAAGAGATATCAATCCAGAATCTAAAATAAATGGCAATAGTGGCAATAGGTAAATGTTGTGATACATTCGTAATATTTTTATATAGTATATAACTATAATTTATTATATTGAACATTCATATATATTTTAGATTGGCTTGTGGTATTATTGCTCGTTCATCTGGCTTATTTCAAAATACAAAAAGACTCTGTGCTTGCGATGGACTTACATTATGGGATGAAAGAAATAAAGCATTTAAAAATAAAAATGATTATTCTGGAGCAAGTAATAATTGTATAGTATTCTAAATTTTTTAATAACTTTTAGTAATTTTTAATAACTTTTAGTAATTATATAATACAAATGTCAAAATGTAGTCACGTTTGTAGATCTCAAATATTTCTTTGCACAGTACTTTTTTGTATACGTATATATTTTATGTTTACTTAATATTTATTTAAAATGAATAATAAGTTTTATTTGTCCATAGATAATCATTATAATTTTTAATTTTGTCTGTAACCTGTTATATATGTTATTTAATTATTCGATCGACAACTTTTAATAAAAATTATTGTTTTTTGTCTTTTTCAGCAAAATTATAAATAACGTACAAAGAGCCTACAAACTCTTTAGTTTTACAAACCATTCCAGTAAAGCGTTTATATATGTAATGAATAAAGCACAAATTGTATTATATTTTTTGTAATATATAAAATTTAAATTGGGTTTTAATGTAAATATTTTCCATAAAATAAATGACTATATTTTGAATGCACAAGAGAATAATATAATAAAGTTGTAATTTATATTTGTTATAAATTATTAAACATTACATGTTCTCATTTTAATCATCTTACATTTTTCTTGAACTTGTACTACTTGTTATATATCTTTCATTATAAAAGATATAAATTGTATCTACTTATTATAAAATAGATATAAATTATATCTACTTATATGTAACTGGTGTAACCAATAATTAGTCATACATTAGTTAATCAATACAAGTCATCAAAATAAAGTTCTTAATTTGTGTATGATAAGAATTGAAAACTGAATATACATAAGAATATAAATAATATCTATTTGCTACATTTTTAACAAAATTTAATAAAACCTTCATCGGTGATACAAGCACGGATGATACTCATCGGAATAGAATACAAGTATTCTTTTGACATAACCTGTATTACTGGTATGTATAAAAAAATTAAATCTTTCATAGAAAATAATTTTTAATATACAGGATGGAGAATCGGCATTGGGGAGAGAATGATTCTATATAAAAAAATAAGTTGAAAAGAAAGAGTAAAATTTTTTCATATAAGATTTAGTTTCTGAGAAAATCAAGTTTGAAAATTTATCAAATATACTTGAGCTAATTCTAAATCTAACAGAAAAGAATAATAGGAGATTGTTCTATGTGTGAAAATAACTAGAAAATGTAGATTGAAATTTTTGTTATAAGATGTATCGTTTTCGAGAAAATTGACTTTGAAAATTTATCAAGTACACGCAATTTTTAATCAAATATATTCTGTCTATTTTCTTGAACATAGCTTTAAATGAAAAAATTTTATTCTACATTTTTGACTTATATTTTCATATTGAATCACTTCTTCCTTGCTTGTGCTACATCCTAGTATTGTCCATAGTATGTTTAATTTGTGACGTTAATTTAGGAAAAAATATAAGCAAAAAGATTCATAATGGGAATTCCTGGATTAACTACTTACATAAATAAACATTCAGACATCTATTTAGAATATTATGAATTGCACAATACATACCTAGTAATTGATGGAAATAGCATTTGTTGTTCAATATATAATTTATACACGAAGTGCAATTGTGCATTTGGTGGTGATTATGATAATTATGCGCAATGTGTGATAGATTTTTTCAATGATTTGTTAAAGTGTAAAGTAAAACCTTTGGTTTTACTTGATGGTGGTATTGAAGACAGAAAATTGAAAACTATTATAAAAAGGACCAAAGAAAGAATTAATTCTGCATATTCATTTTGCTCACTTAATCAAAAGAAAATTAAGTATTTTCCTTTGTTAATAAAGGAAATATTCAGAGATGTGATGAGAGAAAAAAATATTCGACATGTACAGTGTCTGTTTGAAGCTGACAATGATATAGCATCAGTAGCAAAAATCCTAAATTGCCCAGTGCTTAGCTATGATTCAGATTTTTATATATATGGAACTTTGTATATACCATTTGATACATTAGATACTCATGTAGTGAAAAATCCAAATGGAAATGGTTATATGAAATGCTGCAAAATTTACAAAGTTGAGAACTTGCTTAAATCTTTTAAAGGATTAGACCAGACAATGTTGCCATTGGCTGCAATATTATTAGGTAATGACTATGTGAAATATAAAACATTCAAGAATTTTTTTCGTCACTTGAAACTAAGAGGTGCATCAAACAAGAGGCGTAATCATCGACAATGTTGTATAGAAACAACTTTGATCTGGTTGAGTAAGCACACTTTGAACAATGCTATCATAGAAGTTTTAAGTAGCTTAATTAAGCCTGTGCGACAGAAAATATTAGACTTAATAGAGGTCAATATAAATAATTATACAAACATATCTACTGAGGTACTTATACCTCTAGGTTTTTCAACAGCTTATGTTTCTCTTGCAAATACATATCATTTGAATAAAAGTTTTAAATTTAATGGAGACATCAATGCATTGACATACATTGAAGAAGATTGCAAAGAAGAAAATAATGAAAAGGAAGAAGAACAGGAACAAGAAAAAGAGGATGGAATAGAAACACAAATAACAAATACACTTAATGAGTTCAAATCAATGTCTAAAAATGCAGCTGTTAATAATTTACCTCTGTGGTTTGTAAATGAATTTCTTAGGAGTAAATATCCAGCACATTTTATGGATTTAATAGTACGATGTTTATATATTTGCCCTGTACAAGTAGAAGATTACTGTTATCCTTCCAGTGCCATAACAAGCTTAAAAATTCTCAGTGTAATATTTCGAATTTTAAAATCAACAATAGATGACAAAGTATGTTATATGAAATACATGGTGAGAAATCAAAACAAGAAACTTATGTGCTGTACATTAGAGGCTACAAAAATCATGAATATGTGTGAACTTCCTTCTTTATTCAATCTTAAAGAAATTCCATTACTTATTCGCAGACAGATTTTAAATAACACTTTGGGAATTACAAATATGGATTGTATAAATGAAGTACCACCAGAGTGGAGATTGTATGTTGGATGCATCAAATATTGGATATATCAACAAGAATGTTCTACATTTCATAAATGTTATTTGTATTCTATATTTATTTCCATGTTATTTAATATAATAGATTCCAAAATTGGAAGACACAGAAATATGTACATCTTTCAGAAAAAATATTGTCAAATAATTGAAACTATAAAGGAGGAAAGGAAAAAAAATAATTATAGCTCATATTATACAATGGATGGTACGATCATTGAAGCCTATAGTGAAATTGACTATTATGACTGTGTATTAGCAGCACCATTTTTTATTTCTCATTTTAAAATAAATGAAGAATTATATACAAACCCAAAAATATTTAATAGATATATTGTACATGTTTTTGCAGAATTTCAAAATTGTTTGAGACATGCCATGAATTTGAATGCACTTTTAAGCTATCCTTATCCACAAATCAAAGTTGCAAATTTATTTAATGGTACTCTATTGTATAATTTGAGCAATAATTTTAAAACACGCCGTAACATTGAAGAATATATAAATACTATTCTTCAAACATCTCCAAGTCTATTAAGACTATTTCATATATTTTTATTAAAAGTTAAACCAATGTTTTTACATGTGCTTCAAAATGGAATCAATCCTCATAGAAAACATAAAAAGAAAGGTAAACATTCAAGGTCTAACAAAAATAATTCAGTTAAGATTGATTCTGAATATTTTAGTGCTGATGATAATTTACATGATGCATATTATGATCCAAATAACCGTTTTTCTATGCTTAACTATGTGTAAAACTTGCATTTATTCGATATTACATGTTACAATATTTATGTTACAAATAGTTTTTAGATTTATATAACAGATAGGATCAAGTAAAAGTTCGATTAAATAAATCTAATTGATGTACATGAGTGAAGTACATTCATATAGTGCATTTATATTATATTCTGTTTGTAAACATGAAGTTGCGTCTAATCATATATCAAGTCCTTAGAAGGACAAAATCAAGAAATATACTATGTGTCCAAATATTTTTGTGAATCGAAAATGCGACATGACACCACTTTAATTATTGAAACAAAGAATAGGAAGGTATATGATAGCTTGATCAAAAACTTATGTCTCATGAGTTACAATGGTAGTTTAAATTGGCGCAAATTTATAAAAAAATAAGCTTTCGACTAAAATATTACATATTTTGCTAGATCTTAATGAAATTGTAAATATGATATTGTCTCAATAGCTAAAGTAGAAGTCATATTTCTGTTTTATTGGATTAAAAAGAATATTTTCTTTTCAAATAAAAATGATTAGAAAGGTATGTATGAATAATTAAAAAATATAATTATGTGGAAAATATGGATTACATATGGACTACATTTCACGAAAACATAACTGCGAAAAATCGTAAGACAAGATGATAGAACTATTTTATTCATATTTTCAGTTATTATTATGTTTATTATCATATATATGTTATGTATATGAAAATTTAAATATCAAGGTGAGAGTAACGATAGGCACTTTAATCGTTAGTAGAAATTGTTAGATGAAATTGAATTAGTGAACAACACTGATATTTGCTAATACATAACAAAAAGTTTTATTTAATTTATTGAAAATACTAATTAAAGTTTTGTCATATATTTGTTAGTAAATATTCTTTTAATATAATATCTGTGTATATTGTTAGCAAATAAGTATCATTTTATTTTATATTTCACAGTTACATTGTGACATAAAACTTGGATAAAGAAGATAATGGGAATTCCAGGGTTAACCACTTATATAAACGAAGATGAAAAATATTTAGAAGATTACAAATTACATGATACACATTTAATAATTGATGGACACAATGTTTCTCATTTATTATATAGTAGATGTACAAATGAGAAGTGGGCATTTGGTGGTGATTATGATATTTATGCACAATGCGTATCAGATTTTTTTGATGATTTATTTAAATGTAATGTAACACCCTTAGTTTTTATTGATGATGGTACTGAAAGTAAGAAGCTTCAAAGAAGTATAAAAAAGATGAAAGAAAAAATAGATGCATTGTTAACTCCTCCATTTGAACCAAACACTGATCACCGTAAAATTTTACCTTTGCTAAAAGATCAAGTTTTTATTGATATAATAAAAGAAAAAAATATTCGACATATACAGTGTCTATTAGAAATGTATAATGATATAGCTATAATAGCAAAGCTCTTGGATTGTCCAATACTCAGCTGTCAGTCAGATTTTTATATGTTTGGAAGTTTATATATACCATTTCATACATTCAATACTCCTATAGTTAAAAATCCACATGGGAATGGTTACATGAAACCTTGTAAAATATATAAAATTGAGAATTTGTTCAAATGTTTTGAAGGATTAAATGAATCAAAATTGGTATTAGCCTCAATACTGTTAGAAGATGATGATGTGGAATATGGTACATTCAAGAACTTTTTTCATTACTTAAATTTGAAATCATCAGATACAAGCCGTAGTTACCGGCGATATTTCATAGAGAAAATACTGTCATGGTTGAGTAAATATACTTTGGATAGTCTTGTTACTGCAATTTTATGTAGAGTAGCTATACCTATGCGACAAAAAATATTGATTTTAATAGAGATGTCTATAAATAGCTCTATGAATGAATTTGCTGATATACTTATATCTCTAGGTTTTTCAAAAGATTATATTGCTCATTTAAATACCTCTCATTTAAATAAAAATTTTAGATACGATGTAGATATTAATGTAATGAGATATATTGAAGAAGCTCGCGGAGAAAATGATAGAACAAGTGAAGAAGAAGAAGATGATGATGAATCTGAAATAACATATTTATTTAATGAATATGAAACACTGTCTAAACATGCAGCCGTTACTAGTTTGCCTACATGGTTTATAGATGAATATCGTATGGGAAAATATCCAACTTTTATCGTTGATTTAGCACTTCGACGTTTATATATTAGCCCCATACAAATGGAAAATTATTTTTATACCTCCAGTGATACAAAAGGCTTCAAAATTCTTAGTGTTATAATTGGAGTTCTAAAATCAGGAATAAATAACAATCTGCAATATGTAACATGTTTATTGAGGAATCAAAGTAATAATATTGTTTCCTATAAGTTACAAAGCGCGAATATTATGAATATATGTAAACTCCCTTCTTTATTTGATCTTAGTCAAGTTCCATTACATGTTCAAAAAGAGATTATAAACAATACTTTGGGAATTAGAAATACAGATTGTATAAATGAATTACCACCAGAGTGGAGATTGTATGTTGGATGCATCATATATTGGATACATCAACAAGGATCTCCTGCAGCTTATAAATGTTATTTGTATTCTATACTTATTTCTATGTTATTTAACATAATAGATTCAAAAATTGGAAAATACAGAAGTTTGGATACTTTCCGGGAAAAATATTTTCACGTAATCGAAGCTATAAAGCAGGAGAGGAGAAAGAACAATTACAGTTTACGCTATACGATGGATGGTACATTCATGGAGGCCTATAATGAAATAGATTATAACGATTGTATATTAGCAGCACCATTTTTTGCTTATCATTTTCAAATATATAAAGAATTAATTAAAGATCCAAGTAAATATGATAGATGTATTATACATACATTTGCAGAATTCCAAAGTTGTTTGAAATTTTCTTTAAATTTAAATCTACTTTTGGGATGTCCTTATCCACAAATTAAAGTCGCAAATTTTTTTAATGGTACTCTATTGTATAGTATGAGCAGTTATTTTAAAAGATACTATAATGTTGAAGAACAAATAAATATTATTTTTCATGGATGTCCGAGTCTTTTAAGAGTCTTTAATATGTTTTTATCAAAAATTAAACCAATGTTTCCATTGATGTAAAAAGACAAAGAACATAAATAAATAATTAAATAAGTAATAATTGAAAATAATTTTGAATATTTTATGGTAACAATGATTTAGATGAAACATATATTTGAAATAATCGTTTCTTTATACCTATTTGATTGTATAATATTTATGTATATTCATATTGTGGTATATATGTATAAAGAAATGTTTTGAAAAATAAATCGATTTTTATAATATAAGTTTAAAAAGTAAATTATTAATTTTTATAATATGTGTAAAATGAAATATTTTTATAAAATTAATATGAATATATTTTTTCTATATATATATATATATATATATATATAAAGACAATAATATAATAAAATTATAAATTATATTCATTGTATGTAATAAATAGTTTCATCTCAGTAAATTTATGTAAAATTCATTTAAAAATTTGTTAATTTCTTTCCATTATAAAGTATATATAAAATAATTGTATAATTAAGAAAACTATAAACCATTTAATATTAATAATAATGTTAAAATATAATGATTTTTCTATTCTATTTTCAAGTATTACTCATTTTTATTACTACTGTATTGCTGCAATTTATATTTTGCAATATTATTGGAATGTAATTTGTATTACTGCAATTAATATAGAGTATCTCGAAACTTCTTTCTTTTTCATGCATTAATTTCATTTAAATATTTTAATTGCGCGTTACACAAACAATGAACTAATTATATCTTTATTTACTATGATTATCATTATTTTTGAGATATTTCATATTTTTGGTTCGCTTTTTTAGTGTAGAATAAGTTTTGTGCTGGTTTTTAGTTTCTGAAACAGAGAGTCTGGAATACTAAAAGAAATATTTAGTTAAATTTTAGAAAGATTTCAGAAATTAGAGAACATAATACAAATTTACAAATATAAATTTGAAAAATTGTATAATCATGAATAAAATTGTAGGGCATTTATATATAAATACGTTTTTATATATTTCCCAAAATGCAGTGAATGCTGTTTTAAGTGCATTTGCTTCTTGTCTTAGAGTAGGTAAATAATACGAATCCTCTGCATGTTTTAATATTAATCCGACATGTACAGCACAATTCAATTTTCTTTTTAATTCCTCAGTAAATATTTTTACATTATTTTCAACTGGATAAGAACGACGTAAATATTCGCTAATAAGATTTAATGGAACATAAACTTTACGTAATTGAAGCTTTTTTAATGCTGCAAATATCATCTGCGGTGTTATTGAAATATGACCACCTAATTGATTTTTAGAAAAGCAGAACGATATTGATATAATCTAGGAAATAATAATGTAACTTTTAATATAAAAATATAAATTAAGAATATAAAACATAAAAGCTAACAAAACGTTCAAATTAATAAAATAATAAAAAATATGAAATCAATACTGCAGGAAACAATATTTCAAGAAGAAAATATATTCTAACAATATCTCACGTGATATAGTTGAGTTATCATTATGAAGATTCATTTTATATTAATTAAAAATATTTTTTCCTTTTCTTCTTTTTCTGATAATTTTATTCATCCAAATGCATTATTACTTGAAAAAAATTATTAAAATTGTTAAAGTATATATTAAGATTTAAAAAAATCAATTTTACAATTTACATTTTTATAAATTACGCCATAATAAAAAAGATGAATGCTTCCACATAGTGTTTTTGTTTTATTTCATGTTATAAATAAATAGATATTAGAAATAAATTGTTTTGTAAATACACCTTTCATGTTTTATTTTAAGTATGTCCTTTATTTATTATTATATTATATGTATATTTCTTACAATACCAATTTATTCTTAATATAAACAATAAATTAAAATACAATGCAAATATTTAAAGATACATACATACACATATGCATACATTAAGAAACTTGAAGTTGTATACATTTTTAATAATTATTTATACATATAAAATTTATATGTTTGGATTTATAACACAAGAATATTTATAATTAATTTGCGATATCTTCTTTCTTGATTTGATAATTTTAATACTACACATCAAACTATCACAACAAAATTTAATATATATATATATAATATTTCGAACTTAAGTAAATTACAATATAAAAATATCAGGTACTCTACTATGGAAATTATTTCACGACGTGATAAATATTACAAAAACTAATTGAAAGATACCTGTGTATTTAACAACTTATTTTTTTTTAGTTTATTTCTAACATTTTTATATTGAGATATCAGGAACTACTCAACTATAATCAAGAACCATTTTACATGTGAAAAATTAAATAATAAAGTAGTACAACAAATAGAAAATAATTAGTTTAGTTAGAAGTTTTGTGCAAAATGCGATAGATATTAAGGCCGTACTTGAATGTCAATTTTCTTTTCTTTTGTGTACAAGTATCAACTAAATGAATTAAAATAAGATAAATTTATATATTTTATAAATTTATAAAATAAAAATAATTTTTAGAGCTAATTGCAGTGCTTAAAGAAAACAAATATTTTTCTTCAATTCTTTTTAGAACAACATCATGAAAAAGAAGCTAATAATAAAACGAATAATAATTATTCAACACAAATTTTGATGAATATTACAGTGTCTTAAGTGGTTGAAAAATTATACGATAGAATATTTAATTCTATGTTCTTTATACAAATAAGATGTTAATAATTAAGGATTGTTTTATTCCTTTGTTCTTAAAAAGATGATATAATAATGAAAATTATTATTTAACAAAATTCTTATCGTGATATTGAAATTTTATAGATTATATTATTTGCATTTACTTTTATAGCAGGAATGAATTTATACTAATAATAAACGTATCATTATATAAACGTTTCAGTATTCTTTAATGTAAAGAGAATTCTTTAAATATTAAAGTATAATATAAAAACATCAATTAAATTTTATTTTTATATCAATTTTCCATAAAACAAATATTGAATTTACTATTTAAATTACTATTTAAATTACTATTTTATTCTGAGTTAAAAAGCCAAATTTAAAATTGGATTGATACAATACAAATTATTAATGTATTTATTGTATATATTGTCCATATTTTTAATTTGATATGACATATTACTAAATTTGAAGATCATTCGTTATAAATTGTTATTTTAACAATGTAATTACTGTGGTATAAAATTTCTTTTACTACCAAAAGTATGTTATTTAGAAATTTATTTTTATTTTTGAAATAAATGTTGAATTATATCTAGTAAACACAACAAATTTACATAATAAATCGTAAAAGTGCAATCGTTTGTAAGTATGTAGCATATTTAAGTATTTTTTAAAAATATTAAATTATTAGAGTATAAAACTATCATCAATATAAATGATTCTAAATAAGAAGGCATAATGTTGCTATCATAATATATATCATAATATATTTATCAATAGAAGAATTCAAATGATACAAAATAAAATCATAATTCAAGCTATGTATGAAAAATTTGGACGTAATTCTTGTTTTGTATTATATGAACAATTTGAATATTTTTGGTACTTATTTTATTAAGAGTTTCTGTTTACTAATTATAATAATAATACTGATGATCATTTAATATTTTCAAATTACAATCTTTAACCACTATAAAATTGATTCTATATTTTACTTGAAACTGCAATTAGCTTTTCCTGTTTTATAATCGCAAGATAATAAAATTTATAGTAATATATGCATGTTGTTATACCTTTACAATAATCTTATTATTATCGATACATTTTACTATTGAGCGCCTGCAATAAATACTATAACATCATTAGAATTTTTGAATAAATATATAATGATTTTCTTGTGCATTAGCACATAAAATATTATATACATGATAAGCTCAAAGAAATTCAATCCTTTATCTCGTATAGTTCATTGCTGTTGTGAGGAACGTTCAATAAAGACTAAAAGCATTACATTAGTATTAGAAAATGAAGTCTACATTTATATAGTCAAAGAGTATATCATTTTACAAATCAAAAGTTTTAATTTTCGAAAGCTATAAAAATGAAATAACATTGCACTGTGATTATTTAAATAAGTATATCTTTAATAGTGTTAAATCTTTTTACTCTATTCTTTTAGCGATAAACATGTTTTATTACTTTTGCTAAAAACATGTACAAATTAGGTACTTTAAATTTCAAGATTTCTATTTTTAAGGCTTTTTCTTGATACAAAAGCTGAAAATTCAAATTGAGACAAAATAAATAATATGTACAATTTATATACTACGATCTTATTAATGTACTCTTCAACCTCCGCTAGGTTCATCGGTCCATATTTTTACAAAGTATTGTACAGAGAAAACTATTATAATAACAAGAATCGTATCTATGAAGCTTTTCAACATACTTATACTATGGTGTTGATCACCTTGTTCTCTTTGTTTTATAGCAAGTTGTTCTAATATGTGTTGTATACGATTAAGTCTATCACCATGTTCTAACATTTGTCTTTCTACATCTTTAATAATATCTATTATCCTGGAAATGTATTGTATTAATCAAAATTATTAAAAGTACATTAATTATTATTCTATATTTGAATAAAATAATTGAAAAACTTACCGTGCTGTAGAACGTTTTCTTTTACCTACTGACTGACTAGAATCTGAGTGTACTTCTGCAGAAGAACTTCCAGAATCATGAGCGGTCTCTGTTAATGGTAAATTATTAGACAATTGTCTTTTAGAAGATTTTAATACAGAAAGCGAAGAACGTGAATCAGCTTGAAGAAGTGGCACCTATAACATAAATGATAAACTTTCAAAACAGTTACTTCATTTTATAGAAATGAGTAGAAAATTTATTTATTGTATATAATTATTTTTTCTTTTTCAAAGTTATCAATAAAAGTCTTATAAGTCATAAATAACTTATGGCATAAAATCATACACACACACACGCGCGCGCGCGCGCGCGCACGCACGCACGCACACAAAATATATATATATATACACAATAAATGTATATATATATTATACAATAAAATATAATACATATAAATACTTTATATTCCTCTACCTGTGTCTGTGGTTCAGCAGATACGATACTACCAGTACGCATAATTGGTGTTTTGTGTCTAGTTTTCGTACGCACTATATAATCTTGTTCGTATTGTACAACATCATTTCTAGGATCCCATGGTCGAACGTCCGCATGTCGATAAACCCAATTACCTGTTATAATATCCTGTTGATATTGAAAAAATAATATTGTTCAGAATATAAAATTTTAATTATTTACTTTTATTATTATCTAATACCTGAACAAAATGCTTGGAAATCCATTCTTGTCCTTTAATTTTTCGTTCTTTAGCACGTTCTCTTTGTGCTTCTTCCAATTGAGTTTTTGCTTCAGTGGCAGCCACTTGATCATCTCGATTAATTGCCTGAGTAACATCAATCCATAATTTCTCACTTTCCCATGGACCTTGATGTTCTAAAGGCACAGTGTATTTTTTCAATCTTTTTTTGCGTACTTCTGGAGTAGGATTGAAGAATACATTTTCTTGCTGCAAGATTAATTAACATAATATTAATTATTGTATTTAGAATTCTAGATAATCAACGTACCCTAGTTCTTTTATCTGTAATCAGTATTTGACCATCCCAATAACCTGATACAGTGGCAAGAGTTTCTTTTCCTAAACGTATTGCTCCTACAACTTGATTCATTTGTTCTGCACCTCCAAGAAATGGCTATTGAACGAATAATCAATTTTATATTTATTATTTTAACTTTACGTATATTAACATTCCATATTACCTTAAGCTTAAATTCTAGTTCAGTATGATAGCCTGTCTTCTCACAATTTATGTGAACTTTTCCACCTAATTCCATAGACAATGTTCCCATAAGAATTCCTTTACAATGGGCATAAGGTATTGTCATCGTATAATCTTCTCCTCTAGGCAACATTGTTAGTATTGCAACACCATCTAAAACTGCTGATGTTGAATTTCCTAAAAAATAGAATACATATTATTATATTACGACTATCTCAATATAAATTTTTTTTCTTTTTCCTTTATTTCTTAAAAAAAATAAAGAATATTTATATTTACCATAAAATTTAGATTTAGCAATAATCGTAGCACTAATAGTAAATCCATCTTGTCGATTTGTAACGTAAAACCCTGATATAGGTGGATGATGAGAGAGCTATTAAGATTTGAGATATTTTGTGTAAGTATGTAATAATAATAATAATAATAACAACAACAATAACAATAATGTAATAATATATACAATTACAAAAAAATTACCTGTTCAGCTATATAGAAAGTCCTCGAACCATCAGGATGTTGCCAATAGCAGCGGAAAGTTTCACCCAAAAGCGGATTATATGGTTTTTTTAAACCTTGAGGTTTTTTATAAAATCCAGATAAATACCATTTAACAACACCTTTCATACGTGTAAATGCATCATCTTCCACTACTGCTCTATAAGAGCAAAAAACAAAGCATACATATACATCTAATTTTATTTCACATAATTTACAAACTTATACTTACTGAGACAATAAATCTGCATGGTAATAAGAATCAGCCAATTTTTCTAGAAATGAACGAGGTTCTAAAATAAAGGTCGGTAAGACTACTTTTGATAAATCCATGCCTGGTCGAACTTGTTTCATTAAGAACCATATTAAAGATTTTTGTTCTTCCTGTAATTCCGTAACAACTTCTCCAGCCTGTGTATATAAATACAAACATCAGAATTTTGATCTTAATTACATATAAAACACAATAAGATATTATTTATTTTACCGCTCCAAGGACTTCTTGTTCATTAGCAGCATATGGAGTTTCGTTAATTGTTTCTTGTTGATCTTCTTTAGCTGATCCTTCAGATTCGCTGTCCGAAGCACTAATTTCTGCATCAGCTGCTACTCCATTTTCTGGCTGGCTAATATCGTCCAGGTCTGTATGTGAGGAGTGCATAGGAGCTAGCGTTACTACTGTTGGGCTATCATACTCCAGGACATGTACAGAGGGAACAGTCATGCGCCGAGTGCAAGACGGAATAGGCTTAGAGGTAGAAGAATCAAAATGGGAATAAGTATCTCCATCACCTAATAAATCTACAGAATTTGAAGATAAAGTAATTTCTGCATCTACCAGTGGAGATTTATCGCGAAATTGTTTGTCCCAATATGCTATTGCATGATATAGCTGCTGAAACATTGGAGTCGGTGATGGACAAACACTTTTAGGATCATTCGGTATAGAAGATATTAAAGGCTGAGGACATGATAATAAACGTCTTTGAGGTGTTGTAGGTGAACGAGGAGCATAATTAGACAAGCATACTGTGGATATTAAAAGCAAGTATTTAAGGTAATAAACGTTAGGAAAGGAATGACAATAACAGTGTAATTAATACCAATAACTTCCAAGAATGAAACTTAACTAAAATATTTTTCTGAATGCTATCCTTCACTAAAATCAAGTATAATACATCAATGTATGAAAGAGGAATATTACTTTCTATATGAGGTAAATTTCTTAAAGGAACAAAAAGTAGTTTAATAAAATCTAGTGTTTTATATAATATAACATTAATTTTATATGTTACAAAAGATGTTACTTTGTTATGCCTACCATGTTCATCAAAGTATTTTTCATAATCTGCTTCACTCCATTGAGTTTCATGAGTTGTTGTAGTGTCATGTGGTAGAGTACGTGGCAATGCACTTGTTGAACGCACTATCAAAGATGAATAACGTAAAGATAATTCAAGTGCATCCAACCAACATTTACCAGCTGCCTGTGAAGGTGCTCTAAATATTAAGTAAGACGTTGGTAAAGGTTGTACAACAGCACCTATAAAAATAATTAAAATATACCTAAAAATATACCTTTTTATTATAGAAAATTCATTATTTACCAATAGCTTCTTTTTCCGGACCTCTTGGAGCCCATATTGATTGTTCCAAAGGATGAAATAATTTAAAACAAAATCCATCTTTCTTACTTGGACGTTCTATTACTTGACATGTATTAAGTAAAACCGTTCCCACCCAATGATTACTCTGTAATAATTATTTATATATATAAGTTTGATTAAAACTTAATAAATATTTTATTTAACAATAATATAAATGAGCACTTTTGTTTTTGGACTTTTGTATAACAGTAGTAAACCAGGCTTCAGAATACACCATAGTTTTGTCCAACTTTTTAATGTACCACGAACTTTAAGCCAATCACTCATCACAATAACAGTTGGATCTTTAAATGAGCTTAAGAGTTCATTAGCCACTCTTTTTTTCTCCATTCGGTAATTCTTCCTTTGAGCTTTGTATGATTCTTTTCTTGTTAATTTAGAAGAATCTAAAGACTAAAAATTATACAAAAATAAAATGTAAATATCTGTTTAACATTTAATATATTTGTTTAATATCTTAAAACAAAAAATATAAATTAAATATCTTATACCTTATCAGATGCATTATCTGTTTTTTGATTAGTTTCCCCCATTGTAGTTGTTAATCCTATAACAATTGTGAATTATTCACAAATTATTTGATTAAAAACTGATTAAACAATGATGTTATAACATAAAAATACAGTTACATTTAGTAAATATTAACTTAGTAATATTAATGTAATATTAAAAACAAAAAATATTAAGTATTTATTATCCAGAATATATCTATATTTAATCACTATAATTTTAATATGAATTATACGATTAAATATTAACTATTAAAAATATTGAGATTTTTTAAATGATTTTTATGAATATTTTTTTAAATTTTTATATTAAGATGTGTTTTGATTAAAAGGCATAAACAACAATATTTATACAGTTGATAAATGATTTAATGAATTATAAAAATTGATTTAATGAATGATTCGATGAATAATTTTTTTTGTATACAATTAATTAAAATCAAAAACCTTAAAAACAACCAAGCTTAAAACATTCACATAACAAGCTTAGCAAATAGAATTTTAATAATTTTACAGAAATATAAACTTATTGTCCTACAAAATTCACATGTTTCATTGTAAAATTTATAAAATTTTAAAACAACAAGTTGTATTTTCTTAATAATTAGAAAGTATAATAATTAGTTTATATTTTATACAAATAAAATTATTTGATATGATAACTTTTATTAACATAACGCATTATGCAGTTAGCATCTTCGTATATTAATTTTTTTAATCCCATATTTTTTTCATCCGTGTTAAAAATCACAATTAATAAAATTTGATATTTATCTTAGACAATAATTAAACTATATAGTACTTACAAACTATATATTTTATATGTAATTATTATACAGAAATATTATTTAATTAAAACTTATATTTATAATAATAATCTATATAATATATATTTAATAATCTGTCAGCCAAAGAAGATTATACAATATACAAAAATTACATTTCAGAGCTTACAAATCTGAATAATAATATGCATAGTATGAAAGGAAAATATAAGCCAAACAAGAAATCAAAAATATGCAGTTCCTTACAGCTAACCAACTACTTGAACGAGTAAGGAATAATAATAATTTACATAAAAGTCAAAAAAGCACCTGACAAATTTTGGAATAATTGTCCATTATGATATTAACATAGCTTTGTGTTTATACCTGGAGATAGTGGAGGTGCAGCAGTTGCAAAATTTACAGTTGTTGATAGAGACTCTGTTGATGGAAGTTTAGGTAATGTTGCAGATTGAACTTGAACACTGCTTCGTCGAAGATGTTGATCCACTGGTTCTATATATGTAGTTTTGTTTTCAATTACAATTACTATTTATCAATATTTTTACAACTGTTTCACAAAAATATCTATTTTAAATTTATATAGATACCTATCTTGAAAAGTCACAAATTTTTAAGCCATAAACTATTCAACAATAAAAATACTAAGATTAAATTACACCATATCGCATTCTAAATTATAAATCCATTTTAGCAACACTAATTGTGAACTGCTAATAACATTAATTTTTTAAGACAGAATTTGCAATAAACATAATTATATACAATGTAGCTCCAAATTTTAATTCAATTTATTAAATCGCAAAAGCAAAAAAACTTTAATATTAAACAAAACATCTATTACATCTATTACATCTATTACAACATGCAAAAGTTTATAAATGCACTGGAAAAGGTTACATGCACAACATATTGTTGTTAAAATATATATGTTTTAAATATCGAAAAACATTTTTGTAAACAAATAGTATTTAAATACTATTGAGAAGTATAAAGCAAAAATAATAATAAATTTTTGGTATTAACGCATGCATCAATCATACTACATTAAGAAACATAAAATTGATTCATGCATTAAAAGTATTGGAATCTTTAAAAAACATTATTTTCTAACTTATATATAATATTCCTTAAATAAACTTATGAATAAACGTCCATGTTATACAATATACTATGATATACTAAAAAGTGAAAAATGTGCTAACAGCATGAATGTATTATGTTAATCTGATACATTCAACAGCGTTTTAATTCTACAAGTTATCTTTTTGTTTAATGTGATAATGTTAACAAAGATATTTGTATAACAAATGAGATCAATTTGTGTATTGTAAATTTTATTTATAGTTTATTTGATAACATAAAGTAATGATGCAATAAGTTATTGAAAATGAGAGAATGTTAATATGTGTAATCTGGAAATAGAATATTATACATATGTGTACACACACATCTACTTATTCATTTTTGTGATTCTAATATTGAGGCTTGCTACTAAATGCACACAATACATATTAATAAGCCTACCTAGCTTACTTGGTAATGTACCATATCCACTGTCACTAATACCTTTAAATGGTAATCATTTATAGTATATTCATTTCAAATACTATTCATTATTAAAACAATATTCTTAGCCATTAAAATTATATAGGCAATGTAGCCACTAATATAAATATACATAGTTTTAAAACTTATATTTAAGAAAGCATAATTATATATATATTATTAATAAAAAGATAAAATATATACAAAGGGAAAATATATAAATCACTAAAAACTAATCACTATTTAAATTTTGATAAAAAAAATTGTTCTATAGTGTATATTTTCTTGATACAAATACTTAATTATTACATAATTACAGATACAATTAATTTGATATTTATGTTCATTGATTATTCATTGATAACTTCTTCTTTCGTGGTACATTTTAAGAATATGAATATGATATTAAGAATATTTCTTAAGAATATAAATATAACAAAATTCATATAATACTTACGGTTACTAAGTGATCTGCTTACATTCGGTGGTGTCATAGTCTTAAAGGAATCAGAAGTACTTCCAACAGACATAGAATGGGTTTCAGATTGTGATGCTCGATTTTCACTTCCAGGTACCAAAATTGGTGGGGAAAACATGACGAATCTATTACATTGAATGTACATGTTTTATAATCATAATGGCCTTATTATATAATTTTATGGTAGAATCTAAAGTAAATAAAAAAGCTATTTAACAATATTAATATTCATGTTAATAAAAAATAAAAGAAATATAATACATAACTGAAAAATAAGAAATGATTACAGATATATCAATCATTAGCTATCATAAGAGTTAAGAAAATGATACTAATCATAATAATAGACAGCAAATAATGTATGTCATCATAAAACGCTATGTAATGGTAATTAAATATCTATGCCATTTTAAGTGATGCATTCCTTTACAAAATAAGCGTTACAACGAACAGCAATTATTCGAACAAAAATGACAAAGTAAAAATGCATCGGCTATATCACTCGTTATACCATCATGCATCTAAAATCGTGCAAATAATGTTACTATTAAATTATGTGAATTAACTGCAAAGTGCAAATATAAAAAAGATATTATATAAAGTAATTACAACATACCTGATTTCTAACTAATTGTTGTGTAGTCAATACTTGTATATAATTAATTATACTTTCGAAGGAAGTATATCAAAGTGTAAAAGAACGAATGTTATATATTTATCATTATATGTCGAATTCAAATTTATAACTCTACAATTTACAAATTAACTAATTTTTTACTGATTTAAGTATAAACATTCGAAGCAAAAAAGAGAGAATATACATTGACGAGTGAAGTACGACGGCGCGAGCGCAAAGTCTGATGTTCCATTGATCACTTACTGTTATAGCTTAACTATAAACATATGGATCTGCTAAGTTATTCAGAATGAAAATGTACGACGCATAAAACGTTGCTACTATATTCCCTATTATCGATGAAAACTTGATTAAGTGTAAACATTTTAACGAACGAAAATTACTCTTAGCTTACACAAGAGCGATATACACAATCTATAGTTGCAAAAATTTTGTAGAAAAATTTACTGAATAATTTATATTTATGTATTACAGGAAACATGTAGTAATTTTATTTGTATTATAAAGAGACTCAACTATTATGATTATATGGAAAGTTGTATAATAAAATTTATTATAAAATATTTAATATCAGTATATATATTTTGGAGAGATCATAAAAGTATCTGAATTGTTAATTGTCCATTTCATAAACCTCAGTCCTATTTAGTAGGACAATGTCATATTAATTAAATATATGTTTGCAGATATTTTCTAATTTTTATATATATTTTCAGACTGATTTTAAATTTTACCGATATAGTCGGGGCAATTGTGTCTCGCCAGTGCTAAGAAAATTTTAAGCGTTTTAAAAATATTTTATATAACACAACATAAACTTAAAAAGTTTTTGATGGCAAGTGTTCGATTATCTTCCTGAGCCACTGTATCTATCGGACCAATGAAACATCGTACATATTAATGTGATCCAATTAAATTCATTATTTAATCTATGAAATCATTATTCGATCAATAAAATATATATAAATACTCTCCTATTATTATATATATATATCGGTGAAATCTTAATAAAAAAAATAAGTTTAGATATAGTATGAATAATGTTTTGATAAATTAAGATTATGAATAACTTGAAATAAATGTGCAACATATACGTATCATCGATATCGGAAAAAGTACAGTAAAAGAAACATTTTACGTCATTGAATGATGTGAATTGATTAATCGTGTCAATCGATTTCAAAAGCTTATTTCGAAAAATTGTTTTTGCAAATTATTTACCGAAATTTATTGATGTCCATGTGTATCTTCACATGCTACGTTGCACAAGTAAAAATATATAATCAATAAAAAATCAATTTTCTATAAAATATGATATAATCATACAAGTTGTGAGTATCAAACATGAAAAATGAATTTGTCTAACTCATTTTCAAAGCAAAACTCAAAGCGAAATGTGGAGTTTAAAAGAAAAACTATGTATATATTCTTTTACACAAAACAAATCGAACGTCATAACTGACGTCATGATAAATAAGAATATTTTATCTCTATTTAGTGAAGATAATTTAATAAATTGAGTGGATTATTATATAATTATCACAATAATTATTATTTTTTTAAATAATGCAATACATTTTTCCTTATATCTAATTTTTTATATACAATTACATTAACTATGTTTATTCTTATTATTATAATTATATTATCTATTATTTTTATCTTAATAAAGATGTCTGCAAAGTGTTACGAATAGTAAAAGATAATTATTTTGTTACATTTTGTTCGACATTAGAACTATCAATGACAAGTACTAAATTTGCACTATAGGAATTGAAATGAAAGATATATAAAAAAGTATGTAACATAAAAAAAGTAAAATTTTATTTATGTTTTATAAAGAAAATCTTCCCTAAATTCTTAAAAATTCAATATTACAAATTTACAAAATTTATAAAAGTTCTAAATATTGACCATTCATTAATATCTTAGCATTAATATCTTCATATTTTTCGAAATAAAGTCGAAGATCCACGATTCTAATTATAAGATACAAAATGCTAATTTTTTAAACATAACCTCTTAGGTAAAAAGATGTTGATATATATAAGATAAGTAAACATATTTATTCCATTTAACTAAAGGTATTAAATTTAAGAGCTCAATTTGGACATTTTCTGTAGTAAGTTGTACCTAAAAATAAGTATTATAATTCACTAACAATTACCAACCAATAATATCACGTGACTGGCTATGTTTACTTCTCCTGACTCGATTACTTGAGCAGATTATAGTTTCTTATTGTTATTCGTAAAGTATTCTTTTTGTAAAGTATAGACTTAAAGTAATAAGTAATATATTAATTTTTAAGAAATATGAGTCGTCACCCAAATACAGATAAAAAAAGTAGCGAACCTCAAGTTGAATTGGAAAGTCAATTTATTTTACGTTTGCCACCAGTAAGTACACTTTAATATTTAATCTCAGTTATTTAAAATAATAAAACAAATGTAATTTTATTAACAATATGTAATTTTAAATACAACTAAAATGTATGATTTAATTATTTAAGGAACCATCACGTGTTTTACGAGAAACATTACGGAATGGGTTGTCCTTAAAAGATAGGTTAAGTATAAAATTAGAAAATGATATGCGTTATGGTGAAGTTAGATTCGATCATTGGCTCCTTCACGGAAAGGTAAAATTACAATAGATTTTGTTTTTATTCATATATAACATAATAGTATAAAAAGATAATTAAGAAATGTTGGAATTCTAGGTTGTTGACATACCAACAATCGTAGAATCTTTGAAAACTATTGATAACAAGAGTTTCTATAAAACTGCTGATATATGTCAGGTAAGATTCTTTGCAATCGATTTTAAATTATTTATATATAATATATATTTCTATTATAATTTTATAGATGTTAATTTGCAAAGAAGAAGATGATCATACTACTACGGATGAAGAATCTCCAGTTAGACAAAAGAAAAAAGATCCCAATAAAGTAGATAAGAAATTTCTATGGCCACATGGTATAACTCCCCCTACCAAAAATGTGAGACGCAGAAGATTTAGAAAAACCCTGAAGAAGAAATATGTAGAAGCACCAGAAATTGAGAAAGAAGTTAAACGTTTATTAAGAGTAGATAATGATGCAGTTAGTGTCAAATGGGAAGTGATATGCGAGGATGAGGATCAATCAAAACCAAGCAAAGTCTCATCATCTGGTACAGTGAAGACTAAGAGGGAAAGTATCAATGGTAACACATCGCAAAGTTTTGATGTTGGTAAGTTGGCAAAGCAAGTAAAAATATAAAAGTTAAAATAAATGCGATAAGATAAATAAAATAAATAAATAAAATATTGTCATCTATGATTTATAGCGGAACATGATATATTTGGTGAACCTGTAAGTGATAGTGAAGAAGATGATGAGGAAGCAAATATAAATGTAATGGAATTGGATGAAAATAGTCGGCTTTCTGCAGACAGTAGAGTATCAGATTCTAATTCTATGCAAGCTGCATATTCAGAAAAACCTAGCAATATTGAAACAAATGGTAGGCTTTGCACAGTATTCAGCAAAGAAATGTTTCAAAATGATAATAATGTAGAAGCAGAAGCAGAAAAGCCAGAAGATACATCTTCGTCAAAAGTAACTAAAGTCGAACAATTCCATTCAGAATATATAATTTCAGAAAACTTTTCAGAATCTCCTTCTGCTTCAGCATCAAAAGGTATTATATATTTGTATACGTATTAAATTCTTATTACATATATATATTAATGAATGATCCATTTATTTCAAAACTAGATTCACTGCAAACGCGTCTTGCGACTTTACACGCGGAATTAGCCGAACTGCGACAAAGAAGACAACAGCAAGAGCTTGCAATAGCTAATATTGAAAACGTTAAATTGCGGCAAAGACTTCAAGAAATATTGGACAATTTATTAACGCAAGAAATGCAAAAAGTTCAAGAGGTGTGTATTGTTATTGTTTAATTAATCGAATTAAGTATTATGGTATTTTCTTTGTATTTTCATGTTATATAATTGTTATGTTTCAGATTCAAGACTTAGAATTAAGATAATGTCAATACATGTAGTTATAATAAATTAAATATGATACGAAATATTCATGAAGTTCCTTGCAATGAGAGATCAAAACTATTTATTCTATTACTTCATTTTCAATCTCCTAATGTAATATGTATATGTATATAATTTTATTATTTATTATATATATAAAGTTATACTTTGTCTTATTTTACATATTCTTAATACGTACATAAAAATATACAAAATATTAAATATAAATTTTTTTATTATTCACCATAAATACTCAGATATGCAAGCTAAAAATCAACGATATTGAAAAATGTACTTTGTTAAAAATGTTTAATCTTATCTATATGCAACGTCTAACGATTTGATGCAAACCAATTCCTAAATTCCAAGTTACTGTATAATGCACACTCGTGAAATGCACCAATGAAAGTCCAGCTTTAGTATTCGATTGTGACATTCGAGATATATAAGTACACCAGGCGACCGTAATGGCTGACAAGTATCGAATGTAAATACAGTTTGTATCATTTTTTGCAGTGTTAAATACGACTGTGTTGTAAAGAATTCATCATTTCACTATAGCGATCAAGGTAAACTAAAGATTTTATTATAAAAGCTATTCTCCTTCACGATTGTCATTCGTTTAATGCATTCTTTTTTTTTCATTTGGCGGTAACATTAATGAATTATGAGCAAGCTGTTGAATCGTAGATCGTTGAACAATCATTTTGTTCGATATAATTTTGTTCGAAATAATAATTTTGTCTATATGATCGTTGTATGTCAAATTTTTCTGATCATATTCCATTTGTGCTGTTTCCTAGATCATAATTGTTTTACACACATGTAGTCTTTGTTGCATATGCGAATGTAAATATTTTTCTATAATCCATTTAATCTACCAGCTGAAACATTTCATTTTTGGAGATGTAATTTCTGAAAAAAAAAAAAAAAAAAAAAAAAAAAAATCAAACGATTGGAATTCCAGATCTATTAGATCTATAGATCTGAAATTCTAAAAAAAAGTGATAAAAAGAGGTTAAATAAATATATACATAGGACACATCCAACATATGCATTTGCATGGATAAAACCACTAAAAACGCTGAATATGGTACGATGTTTTTTTAGCATACTTAAGATATTTTTACATATGGATTTTAGTAGCCTTGATCATTTCAATATAATCTCGAATTTACAATATTCTTGCATTTCCTTGTTCTAGTTGTTAACCATTAATTGTAGCAATTTTTTTTTAGATGGAATTACATATTTCCAGTAATTCCATCTTCTAATTAGCACGATATAATATGTACATATGCATACACGACCCAACATATTTCTTTTCATTTTCAATAGTTGCTTTCATATTTTGTTAAATAAATGCTGGTATTTTGGTATATCAGTTTATATTATAATACATATGTAAAAAATTATGAAAGTATTTGATCATTTACCACAGAAAATTTTTATTTATGTTGTATATATTATATATATATATATTACGCAAAATATTCTGAAATTTCATTAGCTCTGTAATATGAATTGGTAAATTTTATCAATATAAATATAATTTTTTAATTTTACTAAAAGAAATACATATGCCACGTTGATTAACTGGAATTTTGCTTCGTTAACTGACCACTATTGTTCCCGCCATTTCTTGCAAGTATTCCGTTAGCCACAAGGTTCAAATCTTACATTCTAAAATCTTACATTTTAGTTAATACATCTGACTTTAGTTAATACATCTTACTTTCTTAAGATATTTTCTTACTTCATAGTGAAATAATAAAGACTATAATCACTAAACAATTATTCTTGTTGCAATTACATCATTCTGTGCATTATTTTGTGAAATGTATTGTAAGATGTTCGTAATTTATTTGCATCTTAGAGACACACTTGTGATATGGGAAAGGTACTTCCTTTGACAATCGATCAGATAAAATCTCAATTTACAGTCTATTAGCAAAACACTGACTATAAGGCTGGAACTTGCAAGGATTAAAGAGCAATAGCGGAGGTCAGTTAATGAAGCGGAATACATAATGATAAAGTATACTGTATTATACGACTCTTTTGAATAGTTATTGTAACGCGTTATTACGATCATTATTATGGCCTAATGATTAACATCGATTTTGTAATAACGTATAATTCTACATTTACAGTGTACTAATATACAATAACCAAGCATTATGTTGATTTAAAGCATAGAATCCACGATGGCCGACGAAAGATCTGATTTGTGTGAATGCATATGGAGCCAAGAATTCGCTATGCAACGTCTACTTTCAATTGTAAGTGACAATGAACAATTTTTTCTTTATCTATTCATTAGATCAAAATATATTAATAAATATGTATATATACATATATTATCTAATATTTTTAATGTTTTAATTTGACTTTTTATTTACTTCGATCACTCCGTAATTGTGTTTTTCTATCGTTAAAACATTTCTTAAGTTTTAAACAGGTATGAAACAATCATATTAATTTCTTAATTAATATGTTTTATGCAAAAAATTTTATTTAATATTAAAATTTCATATTAAAAATCATGAATTTGGAATAAAGATTGATCCGTTCGATTCATTAATAGCAATCAGTAAATTCGTAATTGCCACATAAATGAAAATACAATGTACAAAGTATTTTCGTGTACGCAGTAGAGAATATATTACTTTTGTTCGATTTGTAAAAATTTGTTGCGATAAGCGGTTTCATTTTACCTTACCGATTCTTTCGTAAACGTTACACAATATGAACAGATACGAACACATATGAATAAATATGCAAAAGTTGGTAAAATTTTTAAAGTAACTCTAGTCACATTTATAAATTTTTATCAGCGTTATTTTATCGTTTCAGTTACGACAGAGTCAAAGTTATTGCACGGACAATGAATGCTTCAGTATGTCGCAATGTAAGTGTTTGTATTTTTTTATATTTTATTAGCTACGATAACATATAAGTTTAATTTAATTGGTAATTTTTATCGTTTATATATTTCAGTACCAGGACCACGCGATGATGATTCATTGCCCTCAAACTTTTTCATGACTATTTTGTTAGTTATTGCATTCGCTGTTCTTATGTACGCTTTTAGACCAAATTCTCTTCGTCAAGTGAGCAACGATGCAGTTAAAGATCGAGATAACGAACGCGTAAGTGGTACATCACTTGAATATAATCCTATTAACTTTCTTCTTATCTCGTCTTAGAATCATATTTTAATACAATTTTTATTTAGGATTCAAACAATGATCCTCCTGTACCACCACCGACTGCATAATAAGAAGTGTAATATGATAAACACTCTCGGCTGAATTTTCATAGTAGAATCTGCTAAACTTATAATAACAGAAACTGAGGAGAGGATAATTAATTAATTCATTCGATTTATATGGTATTGCTAGCACATATTTAACCCAATAACTGCCAATAATTGCCTTTTACATATTTGGAAAGTATTATATAAATATACTTTAACGAGCACACATCTTCTCTTCTTCAGTTACTAATATCTATCACATGTCAGAAGATATGTCTATAAGAAAAAAATATAATTAGTTAAATATAATACGTATATAATCACTGATGTCGTGCCACAGGATGTTGGAAATTAATCTTTTACAAATATGTGGCAGTTTAAATAACACACTGAAATTGTGATTGCTAAGCTGAAATAATAAAAACTCTTTTATCATGTTGTTACTGTGACTGCACATATTATTATATCATAAGCAAACTGTTGAAAATGTATTTTGATATTCATTATTGTAAATAGCTTGAGTACCTGCGATTCAGTAAGAATATTGCATTGTAGTATTTATATTAAATTCGATAAAGTTTCATCACAGATATAATTGAATTTTGTAGAGTGAAATTTATTGATGAATTAAAAAACAACGTGACAAAGAAGTAAAATATATTGGTGTTTATTTATATTTTTAAATTTTAATTTTTGAGATATGCTGAGGATGTACATGATAAGAAATAGTATAAAGACAATCTTTTTCGTTTAGCAACAGGATTAAAAAACTAACATAAAAGTATTATAATTTTTTTTTTATGTTTAGTATAAAAACTGTGAAAAAAAAATTAAGACTATATCCCCAATAATTTCTACTAGGTTATATTATATTACTTATGCTATTCTTATAGTAGCATATGATTTATGTGATTCTGTACTTGCATGTTGAATATGAAAGATGAAAATTTATAATATAAATTAATCTCTTCTAATTGTATATTTTTCCATGATATTCTAAATAATAAATATGCATTATATTTTATATTTCTTTCCATTTGCTTTGTTTTGTAAGAAAAATACAGTTTAATATACAATAGAACTTTGTGTATCTGTACATAATGAGACAAATGCTAATGGGCTCATTCTACTTTTACTTGTTTACATAATAAGAGATAACAGATAAGGATTACAGAAATTGATTAATTATGATTTCGTATGTCTGAGATTCAATATTAATAAATGATGTTTAAAATATATAAAAGAAATTCTACTGTATTATTATAAAAATGTATAATATTGATAAAATTTTAATGTTTCATTTTTTGAAAAATACAATATTATTATTTTCCAACTAAATAACAATGTAATTTGCATTTGCTTAAGACTAGTAATATTTGAAAAGTAATATATAATTTATTGTAATTGAATAATTCATATGTGATATTCAACTGTTACAGAAAATAATTACAAACATGTATTCCAAACAAAGACAAAATATCTAATTGGAACTATAAATAATTTTATAAAATTAATACTTTTCTAATTATTTATTAATATTTAACGCATATTAAAAGCTATACGCGCTGTTTGTTTAAGAAAGCAAACATATTAAAATTATTAGAGATTAACTTTAGAGATCAATTTAGAGATTAACGTTTGTTTTCATATCAAATTCTTTTTTTATTTCATTTACATCTTGTATTATGTAAATGTATTAGAAATACATAATTTTTTAGAGGAAAAATAAGAAATGTACACTTCAAATATATCTACGAAGTGCTTCTATA